GGTTTGCTTTTTTAAATATTTTTTTTAAATACTGTAGACTGATTTTGGAGAGCACACTGAAGTCACCATCTTGGCAGCTTTAACTGATCTTGTGACTTTCTTATGACTTTCGTCCGGTTATATGTCACATATGCTGAGATGAAAGTTCCTGAAAGAGAGAATAATACATGTATATATACTTTTCGACTCTTTCGTTTTTCAACCTTAAACTTCTTTATGATGGTGAAAGTTGTAATTACAGTGAACAGCTCATTTCATGATAGTTACTTACATATCTAGGGGATGTTTTCTTAGCATTTTAGTAATCCCTCAGGTTTGCAATTGTGTCCCATTTGTCAAGTAAGCTTTTTTTTTTACTACTCAGTAAATTTTTACAAATTTCATCATATGATCGATCTGGCCACATTACATTTGCTTAACAAAACAAAGTTTGAGAATGTAAAAAAAACCAAAAAAACCTGACTTTTTTATCTGATTCATTTTGTTTTTTATTTGCTTTAAAAGAAAAAGTAAGATACTGTTGTCTTTTCTCTAGCTTTTCTTTCCTTTCAGGTTTAACCTATGTTACTTACAATTACATATCAAGAAATTTTACAATTTGCCTTTCTTTTCTTTCACGTTTACACCTTGTCGCCTCAGAACTGTTTGGTCCAAATTGTTCTTCAATAAAGAGGCACTTTGGACAACATTTTTCTGAGGTGACGACACATTTGTCCCACACTTGCTGATATTTTTTTTCGTACAAGTTTTCCTTTCCACTCATGTTGCTCCCTCTCTTTCTGTCTCCCCAGGACTCCCCAGCCCTTCTGTCTACTAGATGAAGTCCTCAACAGACTATCCATGCCCAAAGACAAACTGACCTCCCTGTTTCCATGGAAACCAACCTCTGTGACCCTGTCCAGCGAACGCGTGCGTGAGGTCGCTTCCTGTTGCTGCAGCAATGTCAGCATACGTCTGCCACAGTCAGGGAAAGTAACTCTGCTGCCCTTCTCAACGCTGTGGGAGATTGAGGGTGCTCTGAAGCTGCAGGCTAAGGTCAAGGTCAAGAGAGAGGAGGTCACAGCTGCAGAGGTTGCAGGGTCAGTGTTGGGGAAAGATCGAGGGAAAAAGAATGATGCCTCGTCTTCTGCTACTTCGTCCTCCTCACGTGTGTCTGTTTTGTCTCATATGGAGGAAGCCGGCGGCCCTTCATGCTTAGAGGATGGACTGGGAGATATGTGCTTGAAGGAAGGAGGAGGAGATTCCAGAAACGTTTCTACGTCTTCTTCTTCTTCTTCATCGGTCTCAAAATTGAAACAGAAAGGAGCTTTTTCATCCACACCGTCAATGCCACTTTCATCATCATCTACAACAACACCGTCGTCGTCTTCATTTCATATGTTAACATCCACAGCTTCTTCATCGACACCTTCATCATCAGCAGGGCTTGTTTCTTCTCTCCCCATGTCGTCATTGTCAAATGCCAGCCACGCCAAACCTGGGAAATCCTCATCTGCCACCTCTCAAGGCTGGTCAGCTTCATCATCATCAGCATCATCTGAACAACAACAACAACAACAACAACAGCAACAGTCTGGTAAAAAGTCATCCACGGGGGAACGAAGCGATCATCATCACTCTCATCATCACCACCACCGCCACCACAACAACAACAACCACCACAGCAACAGCCACTTTCAAGGCCAGCAGCAACAGACTTCATTGTCATCCAAGCAACAACAACAGCAGCAGCAGCACCAACAACAACATCATCATGGTGGTTCGTCTCTCCGCGGTGACTCATCTTCCCCATTCAGTAGCAAACATTCTTCCTCTTCTGGGAAGGAAGGAAGGAGTGGAAGCAGCAACTCTTCCAGGAAGGCGAAGAAAGAGGAAGGAGAGAGCACATGGATGAATACGCTCATGTTCTCAGACGACAGTTCTAGTAGCCCCTTCCATACCAGCATAGACTGCTTCGATTCTGATAATTCCAATTAGTGACATTAGTGTGTGTGTGTGTGTACCTCTGTGAAATTCCGCTTTTTTTTGCCATACCAAAGAGATTCATTGTATTGATGACACTGTCTGTATTCCATTGTTCAGGGATCTTGCAACTGTAGGAAAGTTCTCAAGTTTCAGCAAGTTGGATTAGAATCATGGAATGTCAACTCCCCAGGCATCTAGTTGATAGTACTTGATCTGGAATTTTTATCTTGCTGTGAGAAGTATTGCAAATGGTCACTTAATTAGCTGATATTTTTTTTCCTTATGCTGAGCTGACTTGTGTGTTGGCAGATTGCTATATTTTTGTGAATGTAGCTTGGCTTAATTTGATTGCTTAATTGTGGATTGGTTTACAAAAGTTTGGTGATAACCAACCCCTCCCCCCCCCCCCCCCCCCCCCCCAACCCACACCCACACATGCATATACACCCGCACATATACACGCGAGCACACATACACACACCCACCTCTCAACCTGCTACAAATTACCGTGACCCTTGAGTTTGGGACGTGGAAGGCACTTCTTTATGGGAGTTTTACTCTGTACTAGACACTCACAACATGTTTCTCTTAAGGAAAAGATACAGCAGATGCCCTGCACTAGGGTTTCAAATAGAAAAGTCTTTAGTAAAAACACAAAGTTGTTGACTACCCTTTATGTGTTTGTTAACATTTCCTTGTGAATCTATGTATTGTGATCACTGGAAGAGAGACGGGTTGATGGGAGAGAGGTCTACGGATATGGAAGAGATTGGCTGATGTGAGACAGGTCTATACGGATGTGTGGATATGGGAGAGACAAAATGATGTGAAAGAGACAGAAGGATGTAAGAGAGGTAGGAGTAGGTCTGTTCGGATGTAAGAGTGAGAGAGCAACAAGAGAGATGTGAGAATATATTATATATATATATATGGATGTGATGGATTTTGTTGGACTGCGTGTGTGGGTGGGTGTGTGTGTGTGTGTGTGATAGTTTGTGTAGGTGTGTGTAGAAATTGTGTAATTTACCGCTAAAGTTACTGACATTGCAGTGGTACCTACAAATTGTATATACTTAACATTGATGAGTGAGACTGAGCATGATGGCATGTTTTTTAAAGTGAATGAAAGTGATCCGTTGAGTCCTTACATATAGTACATGCCCTTTGTGTTTCAGGCATGGGTTTGACTGACCAAAATAAACAAAAATATTTGTAGACTTTTCCCTTTTAGTGACTAGCTGGTTCTAATTCAGAGTGTAAATGTTTGATGTAGGGACAATTTTTTCATGTCTTTCTTTTGCTTTTTTGGTCATGTTCTCTTCTGTCTTTGATCAGCCAGGTTTCCTTAGCAAGGTCAGAATTTCTTCTTAATCTTAAGTACTGTTGCTTTTTTTTTACCCATTTTTACCTGGAGTAGGATGGGGGGAGGAGGTTGTGAAGGCAAAGCACTTCAGTGGATGAGTGGTTGTCATAAACTTTTGAAACCTCTATGTTATTGGAAAATGGTTGAATCTAAGTTTATGGCCAATAAAAGATTAACCATATTTTTTTTCTTCATCAAAGTTACATGGTTGTGACAAGTCTTTTATCAGGTCAAGATCTGGGAATGCAGTATGGGTACGGTAGTTATGAAGAGGAAATTAGTAATAATTGAAGGCAAAAAGATCTTTGTCATTTCTCCACTTGCAATGGGACCAGTTTCTGCTCCGAAAATATACTTCTGATCAACTAGCTGCATGTTGTTGACAATACAAGTTGATGAACATTTTCCCTGATATTTAGGTCAGCATAGGTCAAAGTATAAAACTGTAAAACAACAACAGAAGTCTGTGCTGGGGAGGTGTTCAGAATTTGATTCCATTTTGGAGTTTCCAATTGCAAAATGGCTGTGAAGGGGCATAACTGGAAAAAAATTAACTTGAATGGATTTTTGACGAGTGTGTTAGGTTTCTTATTGTAAGTTCTTTACCTGACGTGGGTGGTTAGCTAGTCCTCTGGTGTGGTTTGCTCCTCCTTTTGCTGTCGAACATATATCATCCTTACCTCTCCTCCATTTACTGTCAAACATATATCATCCTTACCTCTCCTCCATTTACTGTCAAACATATATCATCCTTACCTCTCCGCCTTTTCTTTTTATGTTACTTTTAACTCCTCTTGTCTTCAGCATTCACAAATAAACGACCTTCTATTTGTGTTGCATGTGCAGTAAAACTCTTACTAAAGCGTGAGTGTGGATGATGGAGTCGCATGACTGTGAAGTCAAATGACTTGCTTGCTGATTCCTCATTGTGTCTTGATTACTTTAGTGTTTTGCCGATAAGCCAAAAATGTTCATCGAAATGTTTGCTTTGCACAAATATTTTCACCTCACTTCATGATTGTGACGGAGAACTTTCGGTGACAGACCTTGAACTTGGCCGTTGAATCCTCACATTCGTTTTGATTTGCTTGTCATCTGAAGGCTACTTATTGCTTGTTGTGTTTGTATATGACATTACAAAAAAACTATCAATGTTGGTGTGAGGAAATACTGTGGAGTTTATCTTCAGATGACGTGGGGCTGGGGCTTTTAGTTTTAATTACATTGTGGAGGGGGCTGGGAGTGGTGTGAGAGGAGGTAAGTTTACACAGTTATAAAAAATAATCTGGAGAAAAAGTTTCTACCATGTGATTTGGGAGACCCTCGTGGTTCTCTGTTTCAGTGATATTGTTTACAAGAAGATTCGAGCTGCCAAGGCCAGATATTGTTTCCAGGTTTTCGTCTTGTGTAGACCTGTGTGAAGTATATAGCATTATAAAAGTATTTGAAAAATGTGATTTTTGCTTTGAACATTTGACGTAACCAAACCTTTCTCGTCTTTAATTGGAGATGTTGGTTGTTGACCTTTGCACCCATTGCTGGCTGATGGACTGCATCCTTTTTGTTTGCTTTCTCCACTGTGTTTCATTGACCACTATTACAATGTACTTTGTTAGAGTATAAATGTTTTACTTGGTTATCGACACAATTTTGGTCATGTATGCGCCAAATGTAATGTGTGTCGCTACTTGTGATGAGAAGGAGTTGGAAAAGAACAAGACGTTGTTGTTGCCTGACCGTTGTTTCATTTCCTGTCAGTCTTTCCTGCACTTACTTGGTAAGTGAGTATATTTTCCTGAGTATGTGGCGAGGAAGCAAAGACGAGTTGTGATGGAATTTCAACATGGTTTGACTTTGAACAAAATTGTACAGTAAAACTTTGATTGATTGCCTTCTTTGCCGATAACAGTGTAAGTTTGTTGGCTTATTATAGGTCTATAATGTCCAAAGTGTGGTTCTTAATCAAGGTGTATATCCTTTCTTTTGCCTAAACTTGTTTAGAACATCATCATTATAGATCATAGAATCATAGAAAGCAAATCACCACAATAACTACAATTTTACGCAGGTAAAAATGTAAAATGGACAGAAATGATAAAGGTGTACTATAAATTATACTATAAGTGAGTATTTTAAAAATATGTGCATTGATCAATACAACACCAGTATATTTTCATTTTATTTTTTTCAGTAGCTCATAGCTGATTGAAATGGCTTGCAAATCTAAAATGCATCAAATATCATCATTGTGGAGATAAATTTGCTTCCAAGAAATGGTTTTCTGCTAGTTTTGTGGGTTTATTTTAAGTGATCAAATTTTACTATGGTCAGTCAAGATTTGCTGCTTTTCTTTCCTTAAGACGTCTGTGAAGCTGGTCCATGTGTTAGCTATAATATCATACCTCTGTAAATGAGATGGGAGTTTTTTCACCATAAGTGATTTTCTCGTGTTAATACAACTACGTTTGTGATTTTCTCTCGTTGTTTTCTCCCTTGGTGATAAAAAAGTTACGAGGGTTATGTTTAGCCTGTCTTGCTACTGTTCTTACTTAAACTTTCTCGTTGTGATGCAGTAGAAGTGATGATGTCATCAGATGACTTCTGTGTAGAATGATATCCTTGTCAGTTGATAATGTACCGATTTTCTTGTCAGATTATGACGTATGTACTAAGTGCTCAATTTGTGTTCTCATCTTCAGGGGGCCGAAGCTTTTCCCTTTAAGTCATTTCCATGCTACTGAACCTTGTTCATGACTATCAACTAAGCCTGTTGCACATTTGCTTGATTATCTGACTGTTGATGTTTTCGGTCATTTCCATGGCTTGATGAGACTGGTGCACACTGGTCTGTATCACTCGTAGCCCATGAAGCTGTCAAAAATCAGTCATTTGTACAAATTGTAAATAAATTCAATGAATCACCGTACCGTTTCAATAATTGTAGAGATGGGAATCGTGATGATTATGGCTTTTTGAATGCATTTTTGTCCTGTTTTGACCCCTTTCCATCACAGAAGTCGGCCTCTAGCTTCTAGTGAAATTTCATCGTAATGATAGTCATCAATTAATATCAATCATTATCATCATTGTCATCAATTAATGTCAATCATCATCATCATCGTTGTCATGATCTGCCATCATTTTCTGCCACGAATGTCGGCTGGCATTTTTAGTGAAATTTCATTTCTCATCATCATCACCATCATCAATGTCATCAACCTCTTAGTCATTATCAGTGCAGTGTTTTGTATGAAGGAGGGTGTCCTTGAAAGGCACCAGTGCCCATGCTTTTCTCATTCTTTTGTTTTTCATTGAATTTTGTTTTCCAAGTAAGGAGTGATTGATTTTTTACTCGAAAGAAAATCAACAGCTAGTAATGACAACTCACTCATTAAATTGGTGAGAGTAGTTTTTCTGCCTCCATGATATTTCAGTGCAATGCTTTGTTGCTTTTAGCGGATCTTATCAACATTTTTCAGGTGTCTTTTTAGTACGTTACTTGCAAGTGTGCTAGTGTATGAATCATCACAGAATGTATAAATTTTGTTTTAGAAAATGTGTCCTCAATGTTTTGGAGCTGTGAGACTCATCATTTGTCTTGGTCCTCGACATTTCGACGATCCTCTTGACGTTTTTGTTGGCCTAGCCAACCATAGTCAGAAAGGAAAGTAAATCTCTTCATTTATACAGATGAAAATGATGGTGTCATAGTTCATTACATGTGAATTGGATCTGAGAGTGTATTCAGGGTGTATGAATGTTGAGTTTCTTTCAAACCATTTTTGGGATGTGAAGTTAAAATTAGAATGTATTGAAGGTTTTGTGAGCGTTGAATTTTTCCATCAACAGTTTTAAAAAACCTGTTGTAAAGACGGAAAGCACAAAATGTACAATTTGCAATCTGCCACATGCTGTAATTGAGCGTCATTTTTCAATAGTTTGCATATGTTGCTTAATAAGTCGTTTTCAGAACGATTTGTTCCCGTTCGTGCCGTGTGTATTTCACCCAGTGCTAATGAATGTTCTTCGCATTGTTTGTTTTGCCAACTATTTCAATTTCTGTTTTAAGGATTTTATTTTTTAACTGCCTGTAATTGTCAGGGCATTTTTTGTCAACAACTCATTTGTGGCGGTAATCCATGCGAGGACACTTATTGTTTGGAGGGTTCATTTGTTTTCTCTTTGTGGGTTGACCCCTCAAGGTCAGGGTTGTGCGGGAAGGGAGGGTAACTGAAGAAGTACAGACGCTGTGGAGTCAACCAGAGGTTCCTTCCCTTGTTTCTTTCTTGTCAACCCCATTCATTTGCCATTGTTTTGTGGAATAAAGCCCAGAAACAAACGACTTGCCATGTTGGGTACCTTTTTTTTCTGCTTTTTGAAAAATAATTTGACCTATCCTGTTCCTATGGACGAGTGGTTGGAGGGTGCCAATGAGGAATCCTATTTTTTTCTGCTCCCTCTGCTGTTTCTGTCTGTCCGTCTTACCTTATCCTTGCACTAAATGACCATTACAGTGTCGATGTGCTTCTCTGTACTCGAACTATAACTATTCTTTTGGGAGTATCATTAGCTGGGTTTTATCATATTGGGCTATGGTTCAAATCCCTTACAAACAGCATCTGTGGTGTAATGTTTGGGTTTTTTATTATTACTTCAGAAGATAAGAGATCTATTCCCGAGTAAGAAGTTTATTTTACCAAGCATATTTGTCTGCTGGGATGTTGTATACCACAGCACACTTTGGCTGTGATGAGCAGAATCAGAGGAGCAGCTTGCCTTCTGTCTCTATGCAATGGAATCCAGTTATAACGAGAGGGAGGGGACTGGTGCGAAATATCCGTTATAGCAGGATTTTCTTTATAAGGGATCCAGTAATAAATTCAAAGGAAATAATAAAGTAGGCCTAATCTATGAGTTTGGTGCTCTGTTATCACCCTTGATGATTAGTTTGTTCAACATGAGTCTTGGTCTTACTTGATTAAAAATCGAATCAGGTTTCTTTCTCTAGCGCTAGCGATGTTGACAGCTCGGCATTGGCGATCAGAAAGAAAGGGCTCTATGCTAACTCACCAACTGTGTTGTCCCCCACCTCACCACACCCTTTGGTGCCTTCCGTCTGCTTGCGCACATGGGCACACACCACACCCTGCCCACGTCATACATTCTCTCCCTCCATCACAGCACTGTAACCTCTCCATCCCTGCATCGGAAAAGTGAGAGGCATGGTAGGCCTAGATAATCTAGACTAGGATGGCCTATCATGCGATGCTTTCTGCTTGTCTGTACATGCCACGCCCTCCCCACTCATTTGCTCCGTCCTTCATTGTTGGCACACGTTGGCTCTTTCATTCTTTGTTTCGCTAGATCACCTACAAGTTTCTCAACTGGTGAGGTTTTACATATATATATGTATAATTGGCACAGCAGCAGCAATATTTCGCTAAAACCGACTCGCATGTTTGTCTGATTGCGCTGTAGCAGTATTTTATTTAAAAAGATAAAGAAAGGGAAAAAATGGGTTTTCCAATAGTGTCTTTATAACAGACTTCTCGTAATTTCAGAACTCGTTATAAGAGGACTCCACTGTACTTCTGTTGATGGAGAAGAACATTGAATCCTTAACTTTGGGTTCTCGTGACCAGACACTGTCCTTATTGAAGATAGATGTTAGATTCAGCGAGCCCGTTGAATAACCTTAAAGTGTTGAAAGCAATGTTAAATCCGTAACATAAATCCCACATTCCTGTCTAGGGCAAAGAGGTTATAAATAGAACTAGAGCTCTCATCTGTGACGTCACGAGTGTCAAACTTGAGGCCATAACAAGGAGGAAAAAATGCCAGTTGGTACCTACACAGCAGCATTTTTCAATCACAGATTAATGATGCTCCGCTGAGTTTTTTTACGTTGATTTCTTTATCACATGATTTGCCTTCCATCGCTAAAGGGTACTCAGGCAGGGCAGAGGGACTTTTATGATTGTTCACCTTTAAATGGGCCAGATAATCTCCAAACAATGCAAATAGGGCATTTTACGACGTGAGACCAAGTGGGTGGGGAAAATTCAGAAAAAAGGGTCAGGTGGACTTCATAATTCCTTGTTTGAATTTTTAAAAAAAAATAAATAACGTTTTATTGAAATCGTTTGCTATGAGTAGCTCAAAACAGTATGCCTAGGTTTATCACTACTGACCACAACAAGGCGCTCGTATCAACCTTCTGGATATGACTTATTACAGAAGCTGAGCTGCTAGCTAGAAGCCTCAGATGCAACTCTAGCACACTTTCAAGTTTGGTTGAATGGAAAAGAACCATTGGCAATGTTGTCGAGAGAAAAGGAAGTAACCAACCAGGTGTAACTACCCACCAACAAGGCCAGCATACCACATGTATCCTGTCTCATTTGCAGAATGCAACAGCAGCAGCAGGTGTAGTGCAGCCAAACATCATTGCCAATTGGTGGCAATTTTAGAAAAAATTATGAACATTTCAAGATAAACCAGCCAATTATCTTTAAAGGTGGTCAGATATATATGTAAGCAGCACACCAGTCACATTAGTACCAACATTACAGTGGAAATACTAATATATGGAAAAACTGAGTAAAACTGTAGAAATAACAATGGTGCACTCTTGTGTCATGCTTGGATGCACAAACTGGTGGGTGTGTGTGTCGGGGTAAGTATTTAGTAAGAGTAAACATGTTTACAGCTTGTTCACTTTCAAATATCTGTGTGAAAGTAAAACTTTTAGCTCATTTATTAATTTGCCAAAGCACACATAACTTTGCATGGAACTTATGTGGACCAGCAACCGAAAATCTTTTCATTCTTTATCTGTGCCCTCACCGCTTGTTGGGTACATCCACAGGATCAGTACAATGAATGATTTACAGTATCCTAGCCTACAAATTGCTCATATTGAGATAATAATGTTACATATTTAATAATGAACCCAGTGTCTTAACCCCATTTATAAGAGCCTTAACATCACCCACAGAATACGCCATCAGAACGTACAGCATTACATCACTGGTTTTATTGCTCGCAGCGTCGCCAAGAGCGTCCACTGTGCAGAGCGTAAGATTTCCTTGACACCACGTTGTCAAGCTGACAAACACCACAACCATGCACAGTTAACACATCGCATGTCCTGAGATCATGCGTCAGTGGCCATGTATTCACAGAGATTTGAGACCATAATACGAACACATTTATTTTCCACCAAAGACAGCCACGTCAATCTAATAATAGAGGAATCATAAAGCTCTTCTGCCAGATGATGTTACATGGTCGCGAAAAACTGATCAGGGACAGACACATCAACAAGGATGGGTACAAGACGTCACAAATTGATTAAAACGATCATCTCCCTGCATCAGAAGAAGAAGAGTGTGAGCAACATGACGTAAAAACAATCCATTCTGCAAGTATGAAAATGTCCTTTTTTTTAACAAATCCAGTCACCCACGTAGTTGACTTAGTCTCCCTCTGCCCCTCCCCCATCCGCATCCGGGAAAAACAAACAATAAATCAGTTTAGTAATATCACTCCGTTCATTTGTAGCCCATGTTTAAGTGCAATTATGTTTCTAACGATCAGTCAGTAGGTGCAGTTTTGTGTATGCACATATGTTAGCCTACATAACTAAACAACAACAGCAACAAAAACAAAACTTTTAAAAAGAAAATTGAACTAAGTGCTCACTGTGAGCACAATGCTTCATACTCTATGAAGACCTGCACGTGTCGCGAGGGACACGCAGCATGACAGTGCTGTTTCTAATCCTTTCAAACATGGTGGTGCCATGAGCTGAGTGGGCCCACTTAGCCTTCGTGTGTCTACGTAGGTGATGTCACAGCCACAAACTCAGGTACTATTTATAACCTCTTTGGTCTAGAGTCATATAATCCTTAGGTACCCGTTACGTCAGCAGTGATATCAAATTGGTACCTCTGAAGGCTGTGACAATGAATATGATATGTGGTGCCTTCTCTTAGCAGACAGGACTTACCCTAGTGTTATCAGCATTTTATCAGTCATAACACAATTACCTTTAGTCTTGATTTCACTGGTAAAGTAAAAGTTCCTTGTATTGTTCTCTCAATATAACCGGCATTTTATCAAGAACAGTCTTCTCAAAAACCAATTATTTAGACACTTTCACTTCTGCTAAGTCTGCTCAAGTCATCAGGTTGACATAGGTAAGCATTTGTGTTTTAAAGTTTCCAAAGCAACAAAATATCACTAAGACAATTGCTCTAAGACCATGACAAATTCACATTTTAAGACAATCTTTAAAACCCGATGCCCATGGACCAGGTGGACCTGAATTGCATGACTCAATCAAATGGAAAAATCGTGCTGGCTAATGCTGCCATGAGCTGACAAAATGCCTTTTCTAGTTTTTGGCGCCAAATTTTCTTATTTGCTAAATCATAAGCCTGATTAGTTACCCTAGGGGTGTGAAAAAAAATCAAAATGAAACTGACCAGTTTTTTAATTAATAAGAATTCAAATTTCGGAAGAATGCCTTAAAATCTAAATGGTTACACTGACAAATAGCCTCTTTAACTAGATCTAGAAACTGCTGTGAATTTTAAAAAAGGTGTTTTGTCAGCTTACGGCAGAGTGGACTTTATATGAAATAGATCTCAGCTTGTCGTCATCAAAATTGACCAGAAAGTCCATAATTAGGACCTAAGACATTCAACGCACAAATAAAAGATTTTACCCTACAAGGTCATGTGACATTGAGTAGTCCTCTGAGTGGCAACCATTTTAGTCAAGTGCACTCGATCACTCTTCGATCTTGAAGGATTTTTGATCAAACTGTTCCAAAATGGTTGCTTTTGCCCCTCTATGAAGGAAAATTTGGCCTCCCTCAAATGTCTTACACTGTACCGTACATCAAAAAGGGATTTGATTAAATGTTCTCCAGTGTGCACTGAATATTACCACAACCTGGCTGAGCTATCACTCTAAGAAGAGATAGAGAGAAGGAAAAATCACAAACAACATTCCAGTTTTTAATTGATGACCAAAGGAGTCAGATAATTTAATGATTCAGTTTAAGTACATTTTACATATAAATACATCTATATACATGGCTAGCACGAGTGAAATACGATAGTCTGTCAGTCTTTGTCCACACACTTTTTTTGCCCATTTCCTCCAGCCCCTCCCCGCCCCCTTCCACCTTTTCTCTCTCTATACATCCCTTCCTCTCTCTCTAATCTTCCTCCTCCTCCTCTCTCTCTCTCTCTCTCTCTCTCTCTCTCCCTCTCCCTCTCTGTTTCTCTCTCCTCCCCCCCCCCTTAAAAACTACAAAGATCTATTCTCTGTACCTGATGCCCCAACATTAACCTGAGAGACAGAACATCCCTGGTGGGTGAACTGGAGAACTGTCTGTGTGTCTGTCTGTGTGTCTGTCTGTCTGCCCCTACTCTTTCCCCAGGCCCCCATCCCCCCTCTCCTAACTACAAACTGCAATGATCTACCCTCTGTACCTGGTCCTCTAACACTAGCCCCGGAGGTAAAACATCCCTGGTAGGTAAACTAGAGAAATGGTTCCGCAGATGTTCCAGCCCTCGCCGTGACGCCTCATGGAGCTTCCTCTCCTCCCGCAGTTCTACCGTCAGGTCACGGATGACCTCGTTCAGGTCGTTTACCTCAATCTCGAACTTGGTGGTGACGTTCCTCTCCACCAATGCCTTCTCTCTGGGAAAACAGATTTGACGAAATGTTTATAATCAAAAAGGAGGAGAAACTCTCACATTTTCCCAGTGACAGAAGTGTCCATCAGAGTTTGCAGAAAAAAATGGAAAACTTATTCATTCTTTCCCTTTGAGAATTGTAGGTTTGTATTACAAGAGAAAGGAAGAAAAAGCCTGAAATTCAAATAGAGTTGTTTGTATAAAGAGAAGCACCTATATATATATATACTACTAACTGTCATGTAGTAGCGGGGTAAAGCAAGACAATTCCACTATGTTTGTAGAGCAAATTATAACAGTTCTCAAAAGATTACTTGTGACTTATTTAGACCACTATCCAACCACAGCCCCTCTCGCTGTGTTTAACGACACACATGTAATACGTGAGACTTTTGTTACAGAAAAGGGGACACCATCTTCAGCAGGTGCAATTACGACGAAATTATACATTGATTGATTCGGTTAATTTTTTTCCAAAAGGTGTCTCATCGACAATTTCTATTCGAAGGAAGATAACCCACAGAATGTTTGCTACAATTCTCATTATGTACAGTTGTGTCCCTTGATTTCTAAAGGGGGTGGGGGAGAGAATTAAAACGAAAACAGACCAAAGAGTGGTTTTGTTTTCAGTGTCGGACATGTAATTCATAAAACCTGCCTTTCACGCCTCAGACGGACTCAAAACTTGGCAGTAAAGAAACAAGACCATGTTGAAAGTCAAAAGAACCCAACAAATGAGTGGCGTCTGTAGCCCAGTGGCTACGGACTCGTAATCATGAGATTGCGGGATCGGGGGTTTGAGCCTCAGCTCGGTGCGACATTGTGTCCATGGGAAAGGCACTTAACGTGATTTTCCCATTTGGCTAGGTCCTTTCGGAGATGGACATTAAACTTGGAGATCCCGCCTCTCAACCCTATCCGTATGTCATGTTTTACCATCGTATTCATACGACGTGGGGAACTCTGTTACCACTTTCCAAAGAGGAAATTTAATAGTTAATTCGATCCGTACGCTTTGCATAACAGTCTGTCAAAATGATTTTGGGAGAAATACTGAAAGTTTCAAAGAGATCTTCACACTAGAAGTATTCTCAAGTGTGAAGAATACAACCCCGGGGGTACAAAATTACCCCAGGACGTACAGATAGGGTTAAATAGCCTAACAGTGTTGATAGGGTTGTTATACCCCTAACATTTTCATCAACAAATGAAAAGTGCAGGGGCACAAACGTGTGTGTGTGTGTGTGTGTGTGTGTGTGCGTGTGTGTGTGAAAGAGAGAGAGAGAGAGAGAGAGAGAGAGAGAGAGAGAGAGAGAGAGAAGAGCATGCACGATCGATCATTTTGGCCTTTTTAATGTCATTTGTAATTTATGATATATAATGTAATATGATAGATCTTTAGAAGTTGTAGAATTTAGAGTAGTGTGTGATTTAATCATAAGGTTAGTTAATTTGCAAAATTTTGGCAAATCTGGCTCTTCAGGTAATTTTACTTTATCGGTAGATAGAGTCAATGGTCTGAAGAGAGACTCTAAAGACTTAAGAAAGCAAACAAAAAAACTGTGAGGCAAAGGGGGCAAACTGTCCTAACCTGATAAGGTTCTGCCGTGCTTCTGAAAGGTCTGCCTCTAGTTTCTGTCGCTGAAGTCTCTCTTTGTCCAGGGCTTTGTGTGCCTCCTTCACAGCCTCCAGGGCTTTGAGCTGGTGGAGAGGAGAAAACTTCAGAGTCAACATTTCTTTGTTGAGGCTTGTTTGTTTGGGTACAAAAATTTAATTAAACTTAATTGAGATGTTCAGATGCAACATTTATGGTCAATTATATATGTTTGTTAGGGGTGAGAGAGAGAGAGAGAGAGAGAGAGAGAGAGAGAGAGAGAGAGAGATAGAGAGAGAGACAGAGAGAGACAGAGAGAGACAGAGAGAGACAGACAGACAGACAGACAAAGACAGAGAGAGAGAGAGAGAGAGAGAGAGAGAGAGACAGAGAGAGAGAGAGAGAGAGACAGAGAGAGAATTAGTCTTTAATGTGTGTCAACGTACTATTTTGTATACAACCAGAACCAATTGTGAGGCATCATGGTGAAATCAGGCACTAGTCAAAATTATGAAATCGAAGAAAACGACATTTTTCTTCCCCTTCGGCAATTTTTATTGAATTTTTAATATTTGGCTCAACACCTTTTACGTCCATTAAAAAATACATTGCTGAGTGGATTTTTCTGAAAAACGTTGATTCAAGGCAGAAAAAAAATATAAATTGACAGTTAAAGACTATCAAGTCACCATACTTTGGCGGCCATTTACTCGCTAATTTTATCTCTAAAACCAGGTGACCCCATCTCCCATAATCTGAAATATCTTGACTTCTATTCAAGACAGACGGGTAATTTTTTCCATCAAAACCAAGACAAATGAACAAGGTTAAAGATGATGCCAATAACTCCATATGCCCAAAAATTGACGAGCGCCTGGTTCCATCCCGTCATGACACAATTTCTCATAGTTGAGCTCAGTTTGTCATTGGTACTGTAATAACTGTAAAAACATACGAAGGGCAAGGGGATGAAAGCATTGAAAATCACAAACAAGGGAAGAGCAAAGAAACAGCATGGACGAGGTATCTCAATCCAGGCATCTACTTCAGCTTCAAGCTTTATTGATTTCACATTTTGCTTTACATAAAAAAAAGAGCGAGACTGTCACACAATGAGCAATAAGAAACTTCACATGATACTTTCACTTACACAAAGCATTTGTCAGGTAGAAGGAAAATTATGATCAACTGTCTGGCTCTTTTTTCTAGGATGTTGTATCTAACCAACCCTGGGTGGCCATGACAGGCAGGGATCCAAGCTCACCTCCTAAATGATCTAAAATGTCTCAATGGTATGGCGGGGGGAGGTGCATAAAACACCTACATGTAGATTTTACTTTTATTGTGCTTTCAGAGTTCTGGAAGTTTCCAAAAAAATGTAACCTCATCTACATTTATTATATATTAGGCAACTTGGAAACACATGTGTCACTTTTCCCATAAAACTACGACAGCAATAGAGTTGAAAGTTGGCAAGTAGGCCTACTTGCAATAAGATGGATAGGTCCGCATGACGGAGCCTGATTTTTTATTTATTCACTTCCTGAATTTAGAAAAATATATTTGACAAAAAGTTCTCATCCTTCTTTGGCCTTTGTGATTATTCCAATGAGAAACGAAACAAATCTGCGTAGCTGTCCTTCTCGGCGGAAGTGCCGGAAGTGATATTTTGCGAGGCACATTTCGACTTGAGAGTATAGATCTAGACCTTCTAATTTTTGCATCTCTCAAGATTTATTGCTTCATTCCAGTATAGCGTAAATATAGTAGGCCAATGACTTTCAGTTGATGTTAACTCATTCGCTACGCCGAGCCGTGGGGGGCGGAGCGGCTCAAGTGCCGTCAGTACGTTAAGCCGCCCTCGGCGGCTCGAGAACCGACATTCAATTTTAGCTTGGTTTCTATTCCAATCCACTTATCCATGTTAAAATAAAGGTCATAATATAATGTTGACTCCCGGGTCAAGCGTTTCCATCGAAAATCGGAAGTTTTGATTCAGTTTTGAAACATGATTTCGTAGTTTATTCGACTTTGTTTTATCGCGAAGCCCAACTTATAGCCCAGACACCAGTCTTAGTACTTTTACACAACAAAATGTATAATTATTTTGCTCACTAAAGAAGTGTAGGACTCTTCTTTATAATATTGATACTATTGGACGCAAATTGCCGGTGCACTGTAATTGAGAAATCAATATTTTTGAGTGCTAGATCTAGGCCTAGATCTAAATAGTCAAAATATTTTTATCTCTCCAAAATCACTACTTTTGGGTGAAATTAATCAAAAAGTACCACTCAAGACATGTATAGGTTTATTCCAAGTGCAATTCTGAATAATTCCATATAAGTTACGCATATTTTTTTCAGTTTGTGATCCTTTTTTCAAAATTATTTTTTAAAACAAATTTTTTTCAATATCGGATGTTATGATCCAAATGTACAAATATTATGGAATGTATGTAAATAACTGCACATTTTTCAATATTTTCCTGTTCTATATACAGTTATGGTTATTTTGAGGTATCATTTGACTAGGTGCAAACATGTTTTTTTAGTTTCACCTGAGATTATAAATTTTTTATTTTCCAATTTTATCCGCATCCAATCACAATTGTGTTGCATAATCGCCTCTTACAGGAACCAACGTTGAAAAATATGCAAATAAATAATGCAGGTGTATTCTACAAACCATACTGAAAATGTTGGTATATAATATGTTGATATTTATTTGAATTTATGGCCCCAAAGACCTGCGAACTGCGCACTAGTCATCATCTCATTTCGCCCTCCCGAAAAGAATTCGTCCACAAGCCGAAAATAATACGTAGCGAATGAGTTAATGCAACGAACCATTCCTTTCATCGAAAGGGGGCTCAGATAGTATATTATATTTGTGAAAGTTCGTCACTTTGGCCGCCTAAAACTTCCCAATCATTTAACTTTCGAATTTGAAAAACTTATTAGTGGTTCAGAATCATTTAAAAGGTGCAGTTTTATTGAGGATTCTGAAGCCACCGCAGTTTTATTTTCAGTTTTTCATTAGTTTTGTTTAGATCTAATCTTGGAAAAGTTCGACTTCTAAGACGCCATTGTAAACAAGAGAGGGTTCCGTTCACAAGCTGTGTGCACTGCTTCCTCATCTTTGAAATTCTAGAGTGTACAACAACGAAAGTGGAATCCGCCTGGAGGATTAATCTTTATATCAAATTTGTGGAAGTTTGTCACTTTGGCCGCCTAAAATTCAACTTTCGAATTTAAAAAAATTAATGATGGATCAGAATCATTTAGAGTGTGCACAGTTTTATAGAAGAGTGTGAAGTCAATGTAGTTTAATTTTCAAATTTTCATTAGTATCGTTTAGATCTAGATCTAGATCTAATCTTGGGAAAGTATGTTTTCTAAGACGCCATTGTAAATAAGTGAGGCTTCCATTCACTAGCTTCCTTTCTTTAAAAGTGAGTTTCATTTTCTATGTAATCTCTCAACAAAATGCCATGTCGTCGCAGATGGGGGTCTATTGGCAGATTGAGTTCTAGACAAAAAAGGGAGGAAAAAATAGCTCTAAAGTAAGTGACAGTGACGCTGACAGAGATTTAGAAAGTAGGCCTAGATGCCTAGCAACACTGAGATCTACATCTAGAACTAGAGTCAGAGAAACTTTAGCCATAACAATAACAGTTAGACCGATCTATACTGCAGAATAGAAAATAATGAAAATGAAAACACAACAACCACAGGAACTGTTAGGCCCAGGCACAGCTGTATGCAGTATAGTATAGGCAATCTTAAACAGAAGACATACGTTGGGGGGCTCCATTTTCAAAGCCAGTATTGTCATGCAATGAAATTTAAAGCAGAAGCTAAGTGCATGTGATGTCAAAATGGAAAAGTTGATCTCGAACCTTTTCCTGCACTTCCTCTGCCTCTGGCAATACTCTTTGAAGGTGTGACTGCTGGCGCAGCACATTTCTTAGTAAATTATTCTTCTAGGTGATATCTAAATTTCTCTTTCAGGTGATACCTACATCTCTCTTTCAATTGATCATTTGCAGATTTTTCTCTTGCGTGAAAATGACTTGACGATCGATTCTTTTGAGTCCGTTCATCGAACACTAACAGGTACCCATCTAGTATAACATATCAGTATCAGCAAAATTCTTGCACTTGGAACGGATGCTAGTTTACTATACAATTTCAGAATTCTTGACAATCCCCCAGTTGTGGGGCTGAACCTGGGTCACAATAGAATCTTCTTTTGACGCTGTGGTTAAATCGCTGCAATTACCTGGTAAGCCACAAGAATGTGAAATGAGTGAACAAACTCAGTGTAGCTTAGTGAGTGTAGGAAAATAAAGGCACATGGGGGGTATATAAAGAGACGGGAAATTTGAACCGGCCTTCCAAGCCGCAACTTAGGCTGAGCAGGGATCTACGCGACTGGTGAGTCGACACAGTGGATGGAGCTTCGTATCTGTAAGACCCACACACATTGTTTCCTGTTCGAAACTGTAAGTATTGAACACTACCATAGATAACGAGTATAATCTAGGATTAGATCTAGCACTTATCATCTCATTACAGGCGCGTCGGTTAAGATCTCGATTGCCTAAGATCCCGCATTTTTCTTGCTCCAGAGCACCGGGATCTTAGGTGGGAGACTACTTTAATTAATGTATAATCATTATATCACCATCACCCTTTTCATCACTTCAAATTCCTCCAAAACTGCCACCAACACTCACCTTTTCCTTCCCTATCTCAATCCATGAGTCAGAGAGAGCCGCACATTTGAGATCCAGGACAGAGTTTTGTTTGCGGAGATGGTCCCTGTGGATGGTCAGTCTCTGGTTGGCTTTGGTCACCTCCAACAAAGTGGTGTGGAGAGTATCTAGTTCTTCTCGCTGTTGTCGAACGGTGCGTTCCAATGTCTCTGCATGTGATCTTTTCTCTCGTAGAGCAGCCTCCAGTTTCCCTATTTCACCTGGAGGTCAGAACATAAAACCCTGTCAACTATTTCCTCAGAAAATGACTCGTCTATGGTCATCTTGATAGTCCAGGCCCCAGAAAACAGCCACCGTATCCTTCAGCACTGTGCTTACTTTAGAACACAAAAAGCACAGACAAGGCAATATATGCTACACCACTGGAGAGAAAACGGCAAAGCAGCCTCCAAGATCTGAAACAGACTGCATAATTTGTCCACACAACAAGATTGACTTTCTACTAACTGTCATCAAGAACGAGGCTTCACTTTCAATATTTTCAGAAAAATAAACTTTCTCTTGAGTTAGCGCAGTTATGGAGGACTGGTGCAGATGACCTGGCTTTGAATCCCCAGCAGGACATTTGAATCTTACAGATGTTCAAGTCTCTTCATCCCTTGGCCCAGTTCTGTCTAAGAGGATGTTCAATAGAGAGGTCTTCTCTCATATTGTTAAAAACCCTTACAGTGTTGAAAAAATGGATAGATCCCTACTGAATGAACAAAACCATTCCAAACCTTCTAAAAAATAAATCTTTTGCCTGCCTGCCTGCATGCATACAAAATATAAAATAGATATTGTCAGGATACCTGATTGTTGAATAAGTGCTCACCTTGTATTCCAGGGTTCTTCGATGTATCTTTGTAGGTGAAGATAGGGGGCCCCCTTCTAGATGAATGTTATTTCTTTCTGCAATCTGGCACGACTGCCCGCCTCGAATGGCCACTGCTGTCTGCCCCGATCGACTCGGTCCCTCTTTTCACTCACTTTTGAGTACCGGGTCTCTCCAGTCCCGTGAATCTCTCCAGGCCCGTGCGGGGTCAGATTGTTACCAGTAGAGACTGGCCGGTGTCAACTATTCTTTTACACCACACTCCCCCATGGTCTTAAGATCACCACAAACAACCCGACTGAACTTGTTATTTTTTTAAGAAAAGTAATCTAACAACGTTCAAATAACTCGCACAAACAGGAAAAAGTCCAACCAAAAATAGTTCGAATAATGTTGAACTGAAAATGTCCAAATGTAACACCCATATGTTCACATTTAAAGGCTGTCATATCCTAACACACCAATATATACATAAACCCACCAATGACTGTTCCTATCAACCTACATCACATAGTCCTGCACCCACGCAGGGACGCGCCGATGTCGCTCAGGGTAACTACGCCCTCCGACATCTGTAGGTACATCCTCTTGTGGCGGTTGCTCCTCCATCTCTGGGTTGACCACTGGCCTCAGATCCAGTACATGTCTAGGCATGCCATCTACTTCAATGTTGTTGTTAGAGTTGATCCCAGAAACTACTCCATTTGTCCATTGTGAAGTGCACCTTGAAAATGGCGGTTTCACCCAAACCTCATCACCGACACTCACGACCGGTTGCGCGCCTTCTTGATCATTTGGGGTCTCCACCTCAGGATGCCTCCAAGAGTAAGAAAAAACAGAACGCTGGGGTATCATTGACTCTTTTTGTCCATTTCTGGGCAATTGTACCAAAAAGATGGGAGAAATCTGAGCTCTCTCTGCAATGGATTTTATGGTGCGATGATTTCTTTCAACTATTCCATTGCCGGATGCTCTATTAGCAGCCCTGCAATATGGCATAACCCTCCACCGTCATAAGAGCTCTCCCATCTCCGCTGATCTAAATGCAGTCGCATTATCCATTAACAATTCATCCACAGGGCCTCTCTCCCGAAATACCTGCTCAATCTCTTTGGAATGCGCAGTCTGAGAGTCTCGTTTCTCAGCTCCCTCCAAATTGCAAACCTTCCTGGGCCGCAGTCGACCATGGTCAGGTATGGAAGGCCTCGGCAGTGGCTCACATCTATGGCCATCCTCTTCCAATTTGAGTCTACCCCCAACTCTCCAGGTTCATGCTGAGTGCTTGCAGGATTAATGGATTGGCATCTCTCACATGCACGCACCACCTTCTTCACTGCATCTTTAGTCACAGAAGGGTCTACCCGTCTCGCCAGATGCCAGGTTCATTCCACACCAAAGTGATGCTGTTCATGCAGAGCCTTCACGTCACCCAATGAAGCCGCGCAGACCGATGACGGTATGCCATGTGTGTGCAACCACTCTCTCTTGACCGATGATGGTATGCCATGTGCATGCAACCACTCTCTCTTGACTCTAGTCAACTGATCTGCTTTGTTGGATGCTGACGCCACGCATATAACTTCAACCTCCAGCCCTAGTTCTTCTATCAGACTCTTTAGCACGCCCAGTCGTCTCTTTATCAGCACCTCTGCCGCTCCCTTGGTCTTTACCTTTCTTTCTCCTGACAGCATTGTTCTGATCTACTCACACACGGTAACAGGGTCTGTCATCAGTTTGATGTCTTTCAACCCCCACTGTACTCCAAGGTTCACTCCTTTCAAAGCTGCCTCCCACTCTGCAACATTGATGTGATTAAAGTCATCCTTCTTCCTCAGCCACGCAGCATCTTCTACCACCACACCGCTAATCTCCACTATTGCTCCCAGCGACAAATTGCTCGCATCACACCACACAACCACCCGTGTGGTTCTCGGGGCCCTGTTCAAGAGACAGGGGAGCAAAGAATAGGACCACTGTATCCGTACCGCGCATGTCGTAGAAGGCGACTAAGGTCGGTTGGGCAAAGAGTTAGCAGCCCTTTCCCATAAAACAAAAAGCAGCTACAAAAACATCAACAGCAAAAACAACACGACCGCCAGTTCTGGAAGATGGAGGACTTACATCACCGAGGAGAGGAGAGAATATGGAGTGTAGAATGGCGCAGGGTGGTGAAAGCCGGAAGGAAGCCACCAAGCTGAGAAACCTCCTGTCGACCAGAAAAACCACCAGACTTGGCACCTGGAATGTTCGTACAATGTACGAGGCAGGGAAGGCACTGCAGGTTGCAAGAGAGATGGAGGGCTACCAACTGGACATATTGGGTCTCTGTGAGACGAGATTGACGAATGTAGGGGAGTGGAACCCACAAGGAAAGCATAAGAAGGGAAGACCAAAGATGACATGGAGGCGAGCGGTAAATTGAAAAAGCGGGGACATCATGGAAACAGATAGAAAAGGATGCTCAGGACAGGCTTCGCTGGAGTAATGTTGTTGATGGCCTGTGCTCCACTGGGAGTTAAAAAGGGCAAGAGAGACACCACACAACCCCTTTAGTATCCTTCGGCACCTTCCACTGGCCTTGCACTGGGTCTTTTCTATGAACCTATCCCAATACATCTCGCATTAATGCACAAGCACTGTCTCCGGCATAGTCGTCCCATTTACTCCCTTCAGTTTGACGCTTCACAAAGCTAAAGGCTACGCGCAGCCACCCGGCCACAGGGTAATGTCCAACCAGTTTACCGCAAATTGAAAAGACCTCCCTGCGTGTAAGTCTACGGTGAAGTTGGTCCATGCTAGGAATTTCATTTGCACGAGAGAAAACCAAGTCCCCCTGTTGATTCCTGTTCAACTTCATGCCCAACACCGCTCCCTCGTCCAACTTCTCTGGACTCTTCGATTCTAGGCCATAGTCTTTTAAATGAGCCACAACGTCCCATGTTGTAATGTTACTCACATCTACCATGATGTCGTCAATACATGAACTTGTTGCCTTTTTTACTTCAGGTCTCCATGATAACACCAACTTCAGTATCTTCGACATAATCTTGGGTGCAGAACTTAGTCCAAAACCTAGCCTGGTCAACGCATACACCTTACCATCAACTTCAACCAGCTGATACTTCCACAACTCCTTGGCCACATGGATTTGAAGATAGGCTGACTTCAGGTCCACTATTTCTGCATTGCCATCAATTTGCCTTCACTCTCTAAGCTGATCACTGCAGACATCTAACGCTT